ATTTCTAACCACTTTTTTTTTGTTTATATCGTGCGAGTGTGTGTGTGTGTGTTGTGTGTGGATTTTATTTCTTCTTCTCCGTTTTTCAAGTGTTGTTGTTAATTTGTTTGGCTGTGGCGCGCATTTTTCACACACTACTAAACAGGGGGAAAATGGAAAATCCCCCCTTGTCTTGTGACTCTGGTTTTGTGCATTAAAGCCTGCAGCTACCGAATACGCCACAATTTAAGCATTTGTATTCGTGCCTGTGGCTCACATGTCAGGTTGACCGCCCAACAAAAATAGAGGCAAAAGCAAAAGCAACCTAACAACAAAAACAGCAGCAACAACAACAAAAACAATCAAATAAAATGCAGATAGTGGAAAAATCGGACAAAAAACTTAAGCACGGCAAAAGGACAACCGATGGAGGCAGGGGGGTTTTGGGAAAAGGGAAAAAATATTTAATCTTGACACAAAGCTGCTGGCAGTAAAATGTGGCTCTATTCACAAGTAAAGATATTGTGATTTTCCAGCCTCTAAGGTGGCAAACATGCAGGGTTTTCTAAAAAGGTTTGCTTACTGCGTACTTAGTGGGAAAAAAAAACAAGAAAATTCGCTTTTCTTTTAGCAACTTGTTTTGCTATTACTAGCTGAAACTGGAGGGGAAAATATGTGTGTAAATCTGACAGCTGAAAATAGCTGTTTTCCTGGTAAACACGACTTTGAACTTAAAACTAAAATAACCGCTGACAGTTTTGAGTGATTTGGTTGTTTAACATGTCGTATGCGTAATATGTGACAGGTCTAATTTGAAATGCTGTCCAATGCAGATTTATATCATAATTAGAAGTTGCGTTAACAAGGAAACTTAAATCAAAGTAATGATTCCCTCGTACAACTTGGCGTATACGTAATTTTCCGAATAAATCACTTTAAGCGGCTTAAATTTCAGTTGTATTTTTTAATACCCATTTGTTATTATTTTAGAGCTTTTTTAAGCTCACAAAATAATATGAAATATTTGGAAACTATAATGTAAAGTTTCAAAAGGATTATTTAAAAGAGATAGAATATCAACAAAACGCTTTGAAATTCTATAACATTGTAATTGGCTTGTTTTGATTATACAAAAACACTACAACATCACGTAAAAATTCGAACCAAATCCAAACTAACTAACTTTATTAAAGCAGAAAGAGGGTTTTTGTTTTTCAAGGGGAAAAAAGTGAAATGGGGGTTAGTGGCGTTGGGAACTCAAAGGGAATATGTACTAGACAATATGCAATGTTTGTTCGCTTCTGCTACTCCATTTTTTATTTCTGTTCCCGTCCAGCGATTAAAAGCACCACTACACCCAAAAACACACACCCATGTACACACACACACACACACACACAGCCCCACGCATGCATGCTAAAATAGATAAAACCGAAAACACATACATTCGTAGATAGAGAGGGGAAAGGGAGGAAGGAAGATAGGTAGAGCTTGCTAGAAAGAGAGGGGGCGACTGACAGCTGCCGTCGGCTTAAATGGCGTTTACAGCAAACGCAAAAATTCCCGCCAAACAAAAACGAAACCCGAGGGATAGAAACAACAAGCAAAGAAACTCAACAAAATCTGGAAAACATAAGGCATATAGGTATTACAGTCAAAACCCACTAAGCCAAACGTCATTATTTACAATCAACCAAATAATAAGCAACGGAAATAGTAATCGTTTTTGGATATAAATATCCAATATAAATCTCAGCACTCAAATATTAAAGCACTCTTTTGGGCTGCATACATTTCTTTAACAATTTTCGCCTTAAAGAAATTCCCTCTACCGAGTACCTACTGTAGATTTGAAAAATGGAATTAACGTTCGCATAATTGAGAGCAAAAATTGTAACTAATAAAATTGCAAAACAAAGCGTAGCATATTCAATTAAACCCGCAGCGAGAAGAAGAAGCAGACCCAAAATCACTTCACACACACACAAACACACATATACAGCAACACAAAGCCATACACACACACACACACTCACAGGCACAAAGTGAGTGTGAAAATTAAATTTGCCATGCTATTAGCATTTGTCTACGCAGCAAGTGCAAAAGAGACGGCAGGAGGGGGGCGGGTGAGGAGAAAGAGACAGCAAGAGGCATGACTGATGTGAGAGAAATGATATATACATGCATGTGTGTGTGTGTGCGTGTATACACCATATATGGGTGTTGATTTTTTTCTTTCTTTCGGTTTTTTTCTATCTGGTAGCTGGGGCACTTTTTGATGGATAGTTAAAGAAGATTCTCTTGTCAGACACGTGTTCGACTGCTTGCTAAGCAGTGTTAATGTGACATTTTGGGGGGAGAGGAAACGGAAGAGGGAAGAACAAGAAGAAGAGGATTTAATTCTACGACTCTGCATTCCCATCTTCTTCTTCTTGTTCGACTTCCATTGAGTAAATTGCTAAATAATTCAGGGGAGCCGAAACAACGAGTTGCGGTCTCCATTGCCAAACTCCTCTTACGCTGCGTTTTTATCCGCTCGAGTGACTCTTGTGGCCCACTGTTTGTGCAGTCAAATGTTTTATGAACAATTGAACGCTTTAATTGACTTTAAATTGAGTTGCCTTCAACCCAAAATTCAAAGTCATGTTCACTACGAAGTCGATTTAATTGCTAGTTGCTTTTCCCAAATTTTCACACAGCTATTTTTGGCTGCGTTTGAAAATAATTACATTTCGATTTACTAGCACATGATTTTACATTTTTACAGATTGTGCAGTGTTCTCTTAGATTTATTTAAACAATCCATTTGTTGTGAGAAAATATTTGAAAGGCTGCAGACATGCTTTTATTCAAAAGGGAAATTTAATATTTGCTTTAAATACAACCTGCATTGAGAGTCTGTTGAACTTTTGTTGTCTTTGTGGAAAAAGGGTCGCTATCGGAAATAAATTACACATGTTGTAGTTAAAAATAAAATATGTGTGGTGAACAAGCTTGTACAAATGCGGTGACCCATTTTTGGCACCCTTTCCACGGCAAGCCATTCATCTTTGTCGACTCAAATCGAATTTATCAAAGTCGTAGCCAAATAATTTGACCAATATTGCATATGGATGTGCATATAAACATTGTTTGAATATATATATATATATATATTATATATATGTATCGCGAGTCAACGATCGGGGGTCATTGAACTTTATATCTTTTCACACTTGCCCGCTCTTTTTGCCCCGTCTTTCATTCGAATTAAAGTGTAAATTTTTGGGGTGCTGCTGGTTCTTTGATTTGATTTTCGTACGCTAATTCAATTAGATTTATGTGCACCATTTGACATGTTTCTCTCTCGCTCGCTCGCCGGCTATTCCCCTCCCTTTCCACCACTTCAGTTTTTTGCCTGTATGTTTATTCCCGGACACTTCGCTAAATGGGTTTTCTTGTTTGTCCAACATCAGATCATGGCCAATAAATCAACACTCAATTCGATTTCGACCGAGTGTGTGGGTGCTGCGTTTTGTGTGTGTGTGCTTTGTGTGTGTGTTTTGTATGCTGTGCGGTTGTCAAGCAAATTGATTTGTCCATTTCTTCGACGGGGTTAAACAAATAGAAGACCCGGTTATGCAAATCCAACAACAGGAAGGGGCGGGCTTTCCCGTTCGCCAACTTAATAACCGAATCGCCTTAAAAAGAAAAGCTCGAACCGAAAACACCAAACCAGCCCAAGGAGTCACAGTCAAAGTCAAGAAAAACCCGTTTTTCCACCGCCAAACAGCGGAAATTGTTTGGTTATTATCGTCTTTTTGTTGTTGTTGTTGTTGTTTTTGTGTTTTTCTCCTTGGCTTGGCTTTTAAAGCTAAACCAAGTCAAAGACTCATAATTGATACGCAGAAAGAAAGGGGGAAAATGCGAAAGATAGTCGGATGGGAAGGTGTGTACGAGTACGCTGGGAACCAGTTGGAAAAGTGATAATGAATTCGGGGGAAACTGTGTCATGGTACAGGAAAACCCAAGGAAAATCCATCAACTGAGAAAAACAATTGGAAATTGTGAACCCATTTTCATTAAAATACATTTTATCACAAAGTCGGAATGAGGTATTGAATGTGACTCAGGATCAAATCACAATTGATTGATTCCTATACTACACAAATCAAGTATACGCCCTGTGACTTAAAAAAAAAAAAAAACCAAGGTGTGAACTTTTCACTGACCCTCTGCATATAATTAGATCAAATGCTCAGACAAATATTTAATTTGCCTCTGCTGCTTTCACAATCGAATCAGTCAATTGAGTTTCGTTTTTGGACAACATTCATCATTTGACACTTTGGCTGATTGAAATAATTGAACTTGAAATTGAAACGAGATCGATCGCCAGTTCGTTTGATCGTTTTCGATTGATCGCCTGAATTCGACCTCATAAAGTGGGTGGCTTTCGGGGCTGTGATGCTGATTTAATTAGGCATTCGAATCGAGACTTTTGCTCATTTCCAGCACGTACGCGAGCCAACGGCCAACGGAGCCAACAGACAACAGCTAACAGACAACAGCTAACAGCCAACAGCCAACAGCCAATGGCCATTGGCCAATGGAAAATGCAACTGGCTCGCATTGAGCCCGGTTATGACCGACCCACCGGCCACAGTGGTTCAAGGTCCATTGACGGTCCATTGAATTGCTGAAACCGGTTTCGATTCACAGAATAGCTGTGTGAGTGTCTGGGCTTGTTTAAATACATTTCATATCATTTGATTTTTTTAGCATGCCAAGCAATGCATTTTTTTCTAAGCTTTAAGGATTATTTGTACACACAACTTTATTAATGAAAAAGAGTTTGTATACCGGCAGAATGGAGAGTATTTCTATGATATATATTTGATTCGAACTATGTCAAGGATTCATTATTTGTTCTATGCTGAAGAGCACTTTAATAGAAACTGCGCTTTTTAGTTCTTCAATGAAACTCTGCAGTTTTGTGAAACTTGGCGAGCTCATCTCGAGTTCCATTGTCAATATGGCAGCTCTTGGGTCTTTGGTCTCCAATCTCCGGTCGCTGGTCGCTGGTCGCCGGTCTTCGCTCTTCGGTCTCCGGTCTCCGGTCTCCGGTCTCTGGTCTTGAAGAGTCTCTGGTCTCTGGTCTCTGCTCTCTGGTCGCTGGTCTGTGGACTGTGGTCCCTGGTCATTCACATTATCGTTGCATGTGGCGAGAGGTAACCCCGAATGGGTGTGTTCGTTCATCTTTATTTCTTGTGCGTGCAAAAATTCAACAATTGCAGAAATTGAAACTTTTGCCTCTTGCCTCCGTTGCTCTTGCCACACACAGAAGCACATTGAAAGAAAACTTTCAGACATGAAAATCGTAAAAATAAAAATGAAATGTGCACACGTTTGCCTCTTTCTGTTTCTGTTACTGTTTTCTGTTACCATTTTCTGTTTTTCTGTTTTTTTTTTTCTGCTTGTGTTTGAGTTGGAGTTTGTGCCCTGCAGACAGACGACGCTTAATATGCCAATGCACTTTTTCCAAAGGGAACGGCGAAGGTGGAGTGCTTTTTCCGGAACCCACTCCTTGCACCCGGGATTTTCTGACTCACATTTGTGTTTATTTAATCTTTCACCGGCGGAATTGATATGCCCAAGTAATAAACAAACATCACTGCATACAAAAAAGGAAAAAAAAACAAAAAAGAAATAGCACAAATTGAAATTTATGTTTCAATATTTGCTCAATGTCTCAAGAAGCAGTTTCCATGTGGCAAGTGGCTGTTGGAGCCACACAACTCAAATCGATTAAATTTTAAAGGGTGCTAAATGCTTGCTTTTAGCAGATTTATTCTCAGATTTATCTGGGCCAAAGTGATCTGCTTGCTAAATCAATTTCATTTATTTTCTTGTAGTGGTTGCGTTGCGTTCGAGCAATTTAATTAGTTTAGTTATATGCTTTGATTTTTATCGTGGCACTAGTTATCTTTTTGTTTTTAAATTGCCGTGCTTCTTTCAGCTCAATAATTAATTTGTGTATTTTCTTTATAGCCATATAGCTCTTGACTTTTCAAAAATAATTTTCATCGTTGCTTGTTGAGATCGCTTTTGCCATTAAATTCACGTTTATTCTTTGGCTTGGCCTGCTTCACATATCAAGCATACGCCATGTGGTGCATTATGCGAAATGTACTTATTTCTGCTGACTCATTCGAAGCTGCTCTTTCACTGAATTTCTGTTGCCTTTGCCGCATTTTTATTTGGTTTTACTTGGCTGCCCTTTTGTTTGCTTGTTTATTTATTCTTTATATTTTTGTTGCCCCACTCTGGCCATATTTCTTTTTTGTTTACTTTTTTATGTAATTTGCGCACAATTTGCAGTTCATTGTTTTTAAGAGAGAGATAGACAGAGAATAAGAGGGGAAGAGAGAAAGGAGAACGAAGAAATGGGAAGGGGAAAGGGAAAGGGAGAGTAACCGAAGTGTGCCTCATCAGGACATGGGTTAACCCACTCCGTCAAATTATTTTTTGCTGGTTGAAGCGAGGAGCACTTTAACCCATGTTGCCGTCGACGACCCTTCTTCCTCTGCCCCATTTCCTTTTCCCTTTCCTCCCGCTTTTCCCTCCCTTCTCCTTCTCTTTCCCCCCTTTCTCCCCTTTCTCCACGCTTTTCCCCAGGGGCTTTTCTGGCCAGAGCTTCATTCTTCGCCTCTTCATTTGTCTGTTGTTGGTTTTTCCAGCCTCAAATGAGTCAGTTATATATTTAATAGACGTATATATTTCTTATATAGAAAAAAAAGCATATAGAGGTGTGTGCGTGGGAACAAGGACAAATTGCGGCCGTTTCTGCGGCAATTTCTCTGATACTTTCTCAAAATAATCATTTCAATGCAATTTTTATATAATTTTTCCCTCTGCTCTCTCGTTTTTCCTAATCCACTGTTGACATGCAATTTGATTCAATTATCATGATTTTGTTTGAGTGTGTGCAATCACCTCCCCGCGATTTTCTTTTTTTTCCTGTCGCCGTTTTTTCTTATGTTGTTTTTTTTTTTTTTCAAGAAGCGTGGGAAATTGAACAAGGTTTTGGTTGATTTTTCTTTTTTTTTTTTTTTTTGCTCGTTTTGTGTAACTCATGCAATTATTCAATTTGTGGCCAACCATTAGCGCACAAAAACAGCACAAAATCTGTATTTCCCTTTGAGTTCAACTAATTACTTTCGATAACCCCAAATATATTTATTTTTTTCAACAAACATTTCTTTATTTGTTACGGGTTTTTACTGTACCTAATGGATTAACAACTAACCGATGCGTGAATACGAAATTTAAATCAAATTTTAATGCATATTTTGTAGTAATTTTTTGAGCAATTAATTGTTTTTTTTTCGTTTAATGCATATGCTCTATTACAGTCCCTGTCTTTATCTTTAAAGCCATCTCGCTCACGCAGTTGTTTGTTTGTTTGTTTCATTAATTAATCATTGCTGACATCACGCATACGCAACGTGTGCTGCATATGCAACTTTTGTGCCCGCAAAATGGCAAATTGCAAACACAATTACAACAAAAAATGTGGTTCAATAAATTGCTATGAAAGAAAAATTAAAAAAAAAGATAATAACAAGAAATGTAATTATTATTTCAGAATTTGTATATGGAAATAATATGTTAAAATTTGTATGTGATCTTTAAAACACTTTGCTTGTGATTTTATTATTTGTGGCATAGAAAATGCCGCTTAAGATTGAAAGCCTTACCCATATCACCCCTCCCTTTCCCCCCTGTTATATGCCCCTCTCGCTTTAGCCAAAAATTGCTTTGGCGTCGCATAATCGCCGCAGTGTTGCAACAAGAATAACAACGAAAATCCCATTTCCCCAGTAAAAGTAATTTCTATGCAAGGCCAACAACAACCGCAAAAAGTGCGAGCGAGATGGCGAGACAGAGGTAGGGTGACAAAACGGCACTTTTGGGCGAGCATATTTATGATGTGTGTATTTATGTGTGTGTGTGTGAATTAGTGAGCGAGAGGGCAAGAGCGGCGGGGGAGCGAGATGAAAGAAGCCCTCACATGTGTACAAAATAATTTAAAGGCCGGAAAAAGAAACAGACGACAAAGAATCTAAATAGAAATCCGCACAAAGGGAGAAGTAAAAGAGGAAGCTGGTCAAAAAGGACCATGGGGTCAGGGGTCAAAGAAGCAGGACATGCGGTGCACCAGAGGTCCCATTAAAGTTATTATAAGGATTTGCTGTAGGTGATTCTAAACCGAATTATGGTTAAATGTTTTCGTAACACATTTTACGTGTGAACTTTCATTCAGAAAAATTGTTTAGCTCTTTCAAGTTTAAAGTTTACGTACATATCTCATCGTATCTCAAGATATATGTAATACAACATTGTAAGGCATGTATATTGTACTTGCAAAATCGATTTAAGTAGCATTCAAAGACTCAAGCTATATAACTTTAACCTGGCAGGACACTTAAGATCGCTTGCTATTTTCAACAAAATCCCGCTATCACATTTCCTTGAACCAAAAAAGGAAAATGTATTCGACCATCAAATGACGCTGCACATTGCAGATTCGCTTTTCCGCCACACACACAAAATTTAGTATCGCATAAAAATTGCAAAGGAATACACACGGAAAACATGACAGGATGAGCACGAGCGAAGGAGCTGCGAAAAAAGGAGCGGATAAAAGTGAAGGGAGAAAAAGGGGGGGGGTGGGGGAAAGGACAACAAAGTGAGCACTGAATGGACAGCGCTCTTGACCACTTTCGCAGCACATGTGGGGGCTAAGGGGCCCCCAAAGCAGCTTAACAACTCAAACATCCTTGGGAGCCCCGGCCCAGTGTACATTCTCCACTCTCTCACACACACACAAACACACTCTCCAACTCACACACACAATTACACACTCACACACACACACCCAATAACTTTGGGGCAGTCAAAGTCGGGGCGTTTGTCGCCGAAACGAATTTGTGTGTCACTCAGCAAATAAGTCGCACACAAACCTGTCAAAGGGTTGGAGTTTTTAGGGTGTTGGGGTATTGAAAGGGGGTGGAAAAGGGGGTCAAAAGGGGGGGGGGTTAGTATCCATGGCTGGCTGGAGGTGTTGACATTGCCCAGCATCAAGCGTCGATGCCCAAACACTCTGACTTTCCCACATTTTCCCTGCCCCGCCTCCCGCAAATTTCGCACAATCGAAAATGGCTTGCCCAACAAATGGAGTAGAAAAACAGAGTGGAATTGGAAAATAAAGGTTAAGACTTTCTACCTTCTGCATGTAATCAAATTAAACATATTTAAATTTGTAATCAAAACTTGAGGATAATGTAATTTCAATTTAAACCATGTTTTATTTATCTTCTTGTATAAATATGCAATCATAGCTTGTGTCCTTTGCTATCTTTTCCGGTATTAGAGTTCAATAGTTTCGAATTTTGAATAATTAAATCGATAGTTTGCTGCACAGATGCACTTTGCATATCCTTCGCCCAGGTAAACAAGATAAATTATCCGATTTCAGGAGTAAGCCAGCCATTTGGCCTGGTTTTTGTATAACTTGGCCATCTGCGATCCCCGGACAATTATGGCCAAAGAAAATGCCTCTTGGCCTCCTTATATTTTCGTTTATTTGCTCAAATTCCCCCCCGAGGTGCTCTGTTTATGGAGTCGAAAATTATTCGATTATTTGCCCGAAAGTAAAAGAAAACTAAATCGATTTGAATAGTCAATGTCTCGATGGAGTCGGCCTGCTGAACATTTGCATCTGATATTAAGCATTTATATAGATTTCTCTGTGTGAATACATTTTGTGTGTGGACTCCCTCGAGATTTTTGTCCCATTTATATATGGCTTCTTCTTCTTCTTTTTGCTTTTCTTTGGCTTGAGTTTTAAGGATATGTCCGAAGTTAAAACATTTAGTTGCAGAGCGCTGCAGACCGCAAATTAAATGGAAATAAAATGCATTCCCACTCGGGATAAATAAAAATGTATATACGAGTATGGATATATATATATATATATATATGTGTGTGTGTGTGTAATAGAGTAGAGGTTGCATTTTATTTATATGGAGTGACAGCCAGGCGGAAAACCGCTTCGCATTCCCTTTTCGGCTGATGTGACACACATGTAGCAGTCGAGTGGATAAGTTTTTGAGCAATTCTTTTTAAGCGTTTTTCCTTGTTTGTGTATATTTACCTTTGGGATTTATGAGATTAGTTGCAGACGCACACAGATGCATCCACGTTGACTGCAAATGAAAAGCAGTTCGCAATTGCTTTGAATGCGAGCAGAAAAATATTTAATACAGCTCAAAGCACACACATACAGAGTCACACAAATACAGACACAGATACAGAGGACAGGACACGGGAGAGTGTATGAAGACATTGCACAAAGGACCCGCACACACACACTTACACGCACAAACACACACACACACACACTGACAGCCAGACGAACCGGCACACAGACAACTTCATTTCAAGTGCAGCGAAGCGCGCCTTTTTAGTCGCAGAAAAATGTCCATGTGGGTACAGTGAGCACTCGGCATGGGGAAGCCCAGATAGAGTGCAATTGCAAGTGGTTTCCAGCAAGGTGACCCCATAATGGATTTCTGGATCCCGAACCTCTTTCAGATTTAATCCGATTTAAAGTGGCTTACCCTCATACGTTTGTTATTGTATTTATAAACTAGTTTTTCATCCAAGTTTTCGATGGTTTGTCGAATGGTGACCCAAAACTGTACTTCCAGAGAACATAAATCTACCAAATTTAATCCGATTTTAA